GGCTCAATGGTATTAATTTTAAACTGTCTGCCTCTTTGAAGCAGCTAGTTTTGAATCAGCTTATTAGCTTCAGCCAAGACAAACTTGCAGGTCAGTCTGGGAGTTCTGCTTCGGCGCATTAATACTCCGTAAGGAGATGCAGGGCATGTAATGGATGTTTTCTTTAACAGCAGCCCTCATCAACCCAAAACTCTCTTGTTAACTGTTAACAAATCCTCCTGCCTCAAGTGCATCAGACATGTATGAACTGTCTTCTATAGTGTTTAGACTTATAATGCAAAAAACTCAGAGAAGGGATGCTCTTCTCCAAAAAAAATGAACCATGCAGAAATACATGAGCTCTGAGGCTGACCTTGTCCCTGCCTAGCATGCACTGCCTTTTCCAGTGGAAAACTACTACAGCTATCACACCCCTCTTCTCTATAAGTCTTTGCTATCTATAGTTTCTCTATCTCTTCAGAGACTAAACAAAATCAAAGTTTACAGAAGACGTTCAGAAAAAAAGGACAGGTATCAAAGGGATTCCCTGCCCAGAGCAATCAATCTCAAGAAAAACAGAATGTTTAGCTAGGAAAGCCCTTGTCTTTCTACCACCTTCACATACTTTTTGTAAGTGTTAGGAGATGAGCCCTGACTCAGACTCAGCTCCTTATAGCCACAGCTGGCTTTTCAATGACTAAATCCTCACGCTTACCCCAAGAGTTAGGCCTAAGACTGGATGACCCCTGTCAATTTTTTTACACATGTCTGTGGAGCTGTGTTTTTTTTTTCTTTCACCTTGTCCTATTTAGACTAGCTAATAAGGAATACATGTATCCTCTCAGAACAGGAGTGATGAAGAATCGGATACAGCAAAAAACTTATTCAGTCTGAGACTACTACCTCTTCTCTCACTACACAGGCCATATGTGGATGGCACTGTAGTCACAATAAACCGCTAATACAGTTAGTTACTGTCATACACTGTGTGCAGTGCTCTGGTTAGGGAAATGACATTTGCAGTAATTCCCAAGCTATTCTTCACATAATACTACCTGTGTTGACTTCTGTAAGAATTCAGGACAGTAGCAATGTGAGTACTCATGGCAGAGATCTCTCTCAGTTCTGTTAGCAATTCTTTTTGGTAAATATATGAATGAGAATTGCTGCTGTAGCTTAATTAAAGGACCCCTGCAGCACCATTCTCCAGGTAAATACAACAAAGCTGGAGAAAATGAAGCATGTTTAGCCAGTTTTAACTCGTGATGAATCTCATGCCACATCTTCTGGGGGACTGTGATGAAGATGAGGACACAACACAGTCATGTACCTAAGTTTCTCCAAGCTTACAGCTCCGTCATTTTAGGAAACCATTCAGACCTCTTCTTACACTCAAAAGAGTGACGTTTAGGCACAGTATTAAAATCAGACACAGCAGCTTAATCAAAGGTTGCCTTGGAAATGGCAGCCAATTGTGACTTCTGCAGAGATCTCACTACCACCTTATCTTGCCATTCGTATCTGGGAAACATTAACATCACTTAGAGTCTCACACCTCTAGCACTGGAGAGCTTGGTTGGTTAGCAAGGAGAGGCTGGTAACTGACGTTCACTCTGGTGACACTGAAATCCTTTTGTACTTTTTTGGGGTTTCTGGGGACAATCTCCATTTGAAAACTTGGTTTGTTCACTTCATATCTTGCATGATAGGAGGGCACAAGTTCTGGCCAAACAGAGGCCTGTGTGACCAACTTTCCCCATGCTGGGAGACTCCCCACATATTCTAGGCATGTTCAGCTTTAATACCAAATGTGCAACCTAAAAAGGAAAAGACTGTTCTGCACTGCTGGTCCACAATTGGTTTAAATGGCCTTCTGGAAGGAGGAGTTTCCTTCCGTGGAGAGCAGTTTGAGTCAGTATGGAGCAGGGAATGAGGGCTGCAGGCCAAATCCTTGTACTGAATAAGAAAACAATGGGAAGTTACATCAAAGCATTTTGATGTTTCCAGACTTGAGTCACTGAACTGGTACTGAGCATTATTCAGCATGAATATACTGCTTGGGGCAAGTGTTTTTGATGTATTAGTGCTCTTCACAAGTTCATTCCTCTTATTCTTCCCTGTAGATCCTATGGTTACATTTTTTAAAATGTTGTTTATTTTCCTGAAATTATTTAACTAAACTAGCAGTTTAAAGGTTAGTACTATTTTTGGCACGTGGGGCAGACTGAGATTTTAAGCAGATTTATTCTTTTCATGGCCTATCCTTTCAGGATGAGCAGGCACCAACCTGAGGCTGGTGTCTCATTCTTAACTGAGAAGACTCTATTAACTCTCTACTATTCTAGTCAAAAGGAAACTTTCTCATCTATTCTCACTTTTAGCTGTGCAGTAGCTGGGGGTTTATTTGGAAACTACACAATCACAGAAAATTGGGCTGAGAGAACTTATATAAGATGATCTCTTCCTTTGTCCTGAGGCAGCCCATATATCCTAAACTTCTTCTAACAAAGGTTCATCTAACTTAATTTGAAAACATCTAATGATGGAGATTGCACAGTCTCTTCAGGTAATCATTTTCAGGTCTTTGCTATCTAGAGGACAGATATTTACCCTCAGCTGATTTTGATTAATTCCTTTTTGCAGCAAAGCTTGAAAAGGAGACTGCACACAGAAACATGAGAGACAGAAAGCAGAAGGAACATCCACATTCAGGCTAATTCCCTACTGTTAAAAGCAACCATGTCAGATAAAGTCTTTCCTGCATAGGTACAAAGCTCAATATCTAATCTAGTTGGACGACTTCCCTTAAATGCTCAAATGAAATTCTGCCTGAGAATCTCATCCTCCTCCTAGTTAAGAGTCTTCCTGTAAAGTAGAACTATGAAATCCAAAGATGTACAAAGCCTGTGAGATAAATTCCTGGGTATAAAATGTGCAGACACTATTTTACAAAATGACAAAAGATCTGTTTGCTAAGAGACATAGCAAATTCTCAAATGTGATAGATCTCTCATGAAAATTAAAATCTCTTCTGAAATAGATGATGATACGGTTCTCTTCCCAAGATTGTGTCCAAGATCTCAAAGAAAAATCCAGCCTTCACAGGACAGCAAAAGATGTTCCTAATCTTCCTGAGAACTACATCCAAGAAAGGATACAAGGTACAAGGGTACAAGACAAAACTGTGACTCTTCTAAAATAATTCCTAGAAAGCATGGAGGAAGGAAGACAGACTGGGTGGAGGGAAATCAAAACAAACAAATCAAGAAAAACTAACACTGAATTCACTGGAATGGGAGAAGGAAGTTTTTCACCTGTAGCCCTTAACTTCTGTGATCCCTTAAAATTTTAACATGAAGGACAAGAAAAAATGCCAGACATGGTGTTTCTCATCTTTATTAATATTACACTGACATCTTCTTTGGTCCAGTCCTGTTCAATTTATTCATCAATGACCTGGATGAAGGCACAGAGTGCTCCCTCAGCAAGGGGGAGCTGATGATACCAAACTGGGAGGAGTAGCTGATACCCCCAGAGACTGTGCTGCCATCCACAGGGACCTGGACAGACTGGACAACTGGGTGGTGAAAAACCTCATGCAGTTCAACAAGGCCAAGTGCAAGGTCCTGCACCTGGGGAAGAATAACTCCAGACACCAGTACAGGCTGGGGACCGACCTTCTGGAGAGCAGCTCTGCAGAGAAAGACCTGGGTGTCATGGTGGACGACAAGTTGACCATGAGGCTGCAGTGTGCCCTCGTGGCCAAGTAGGCCAATGGGATCTTGGGGTGCATTAAGAAGAGCATCTCCAGCAGGTCAAGGGAGGGGATCCTGCCCCTCTACTCAGCCCTGGTGAGGCCGCATCTGGAGTATTGTGTCCAGTTCTGGGCTCCACAGTACAAGAGGGATGTGGAGCTGCTGGAGAGAGAACTGAAGCATCAAAAGTTCTACAGGAACTTAAGGAAGGAAATCTTAACAGTGAGGGTGACAGAGCACTGGAACAGGCTGCCCAGAGAGGTTGTGGAGTCTCCTTCTCTGGAGATCTTCAAAACCCGCTTGGACGCAGTCCTGTGCCACGTGCACTGGGTGACCCTGCGTGTGCAGGGGGGTTGGACTAGATGACCTCTAGAGGTCCCTTCCAACCTTAAGCATTCTATGATTCTATGATTCTATGATCTCAGTCTGCATCTGCCAAACCTAATGTACCAATGCATCCATAAAGATATGAAATAGCACGAGTTACCTCTGTTGAGGCATCTGAATTTCAAAATTCATGATGTACCACTGAATTTACACTCCAAAGAATAAAGCCTCACATAATTTCAAATTATAATTGAAATTATAATTTAAAATTATGTGAGGTCAGAATTTTTGTCATTGTCCCACACAGCTGTCAAAACAGTTGGAAGAGCTTGTAGGTTACAATCTTAGGCCACGATAAAACTCTACTAGAAGAATGCCATAGCCTTAAGGACAGGACAATACTTCCAGACAGGACCTGCTGGGATACTATGTATTATAAATGAAGTCTTAGATTGAGAATGAGTGTAATTCAACCAGCATTGAACCATAGACTTCACAGAAGAAACTTTTTTTTTTTCCCCAAAGCCCAAAACTCAGAATGCATCATGCTTGATTAACCTCACTTGAGCCAGGAGACTAATCATGGGATGCTATTTGTATTTTATTTTAGGAAAGTAAGAGCATTAGAATAACATTCAGCATGGAAACCATAGTCATAACATAGTATAACTACTATAACGTAACAAAGAACTAGGAATGTTCTCTACTAACAGGTTTTACTTCCATTTATTTGTTTGTTTGTTTGTTTGTATGTGTCTACTCTCCAGTGAAAAAAGTTCTTAAATACATATGAGACTCCAATCCAGAGAGCAACTGTCCAGCTCAGTTATTGGTGGGATGACAGATCAGAAATTTTCACCTCCTCCTTCTCCTCACAGCTGCCCCACACACATGCACACACACACAGAGGCTGGGAGGCTCCACACCTATAGCACCTACCTTGGGTTTGAAGGCGATTAATTTCAGGACCATCTCAACAGTGAAGAGGCCAGTGAAGAGCATGTTGAGGATATTCATGGCTTCCTTGAACATGCAGCTCTGACCGTAGTGCTGAAAAACAGGGATCCCAGCAGCAGTGTGAAGAATAAATCTACTAGCTACATATGATTCCACAGGGCCCATACTAATCTCTCTTGGTGCTGAAGTTCTCTAAAGAAAATCCCAGCACGCACCACTTTTTTTCTTTTTAGAATCCCTATCTCCCTTCACACTCCAGCATTTTCATACTTCTAGTCATTTCTGCCACTTGGGTCTGCATCATTTCTCTTAAAAAAAGAAAAATTTTGAGTGGGGGGTTACTTGCACTTATCATTTCAGTTGAGGCCTCATTATGCATTTGCATAATGGTACAAGGCAATCTCCAATTGTGTTATCTCACCCTTCCCTAACACTTAGATTACTTTTTTTGTTTGAATTTTACTGCAGAGTGAACAGGGGTTTCACTGAACTGTTCATAATGATACCAAGCTCTTTCCCAAGTAATTACATTTAATTCAGGATCCCATAATGTACATAAGCAGATCAAATCATATCTTTCCAATATGCATTATCCTGCCTTTGTCAACTCTCAATTACATTTGCAATCATGCTGTCCATTCACTTAGCTTTATTAAGATCTAATGAAGTTACTCTTTGTCTCCTCTTGATTAATCGATATAGTGCCTTCTGCAAATGTTGCCACCTGACTCTTCATTTCCCCTTTTCCAGATCATTATCATCTTGGAACTGATTTCCGTGCCTTATACTTAGACCATCTTCCAGTTCATATAATAAGGCCCTGTTCTGAGTTGCTTAACTTTGCTAAACTTTAACCACCAGAACTGAATTTTCCTATTCTGAATTGGCTCAGGATAATTTATTTAATCATTTAGTAAATAATTAAAATTTAATAATGTGGTTTTTGTGTTTGCTACAGCCTGTTCGCTGTCCCTTAAAAAATTTGGCACAAATCCGACCAAGCTATATGCCTATGAGAAACCCGTATCTTAAGGTCAAAAGAAAATTTGGCGTAGGAGAGGATAGAATGGGGTATGCTGGAGAAGAGCATGGGGAGTAGGACTTGGAGCAGGGATGAAATAGAGACAGAATGAAATGAATTAAACAGTGAAATGGAAAGGAGGTGTGGCAGAGAAACACTGGAAAGGAGGTCCATGGATGCAACTAGGATTCTGCAGTGAGGAGAAGGACTGATTGAAGAATGGGGATCTGGGACTATGTGGGCCACAGACTGAGGAAAGGAGTTCAGAGAGAGATTGGACTGACTGGGAAAGGAGAAGGGATGTTGTTTAGGGAGGAGAGCGATGGTCCAGGCTATTTCTTAAAGAGAATGCAAAATATAATGGGGTTCGAGAGGCTGCAGAAACTGGGACTGAGGAGATGGACTTAATAGGTGGACTCCATGACTGACTGAATATGGATGGGGAGGTGAGAGAGGTCTTGGGCACAAACGGACTGGAAGGGACAAGACAGAAAAGGACAGTCTTGGGAAAATGTACAGCACAGCTTGTATCTGCAAGAGCTTTTCTACAAGAGGCTGAAAAGAACTTTACTTTTTGCAAGTTTGCCACTAAGTAAAGATTATGTCTCCTCTTTTACTGTTGTTCCACTCTGCACATGTTAATCTACTACTATCATTTGCTATTCTTGTAGATCCAACAGCACATGTTTGATCGCTAGATTCACATTAGATGCTTGGAAAACCTCATAGTAATGAAAAAGAAAAGTGTGCAAATGTAGCACGTAGTAAGGTAGCCAGGCGCATCACTAGTGAAGCAAATTAGGAAACATCAGTCAAGAAATGCTTTGTGTAGAGTCAATCTTGCCTTGAGGTGATAGGATATAAAACACAGCCTCTGAAGGTACTTTTTAGCCAAGTTTTTATAGGGGCATATATAACACTGAATAAAAGTGAAGCCAGGAATTGCCTGCCTTCTATCTCCATTTTCCTTATTCATCTTGATTGCCCACCTATTTGTTCTCTCTTTTTTTTTAATGTGGTAAAGCCCAAAATGTAAACTTTAGATCTCAAGGGAATTGCATTTCATGGCCTACTCCAAGTTTTTGGAGGATACGAGTCAGAACTGGGAATTCACTCATTCTTATAGCAGCCACTGAATTGGTCTGTGATATGACTGTTGGTGCTGTTTTTAAACAGGATAAACAGAACTGTTGAAAGTGTCACGTATTAGTGGGAAGAGGAGAAGAGACAAATTCATGGTTCTAACTAAATGTCATTCAGAGTGATCATGGTACAATGTCTTTTATCATGTCCCTCTCCCTCAGTGATGTAAAAATGAAAGGTAGCCTCAACCTTTGCTCTTTCTACATTTTCCCAGCAAGGGCTCATAACTCATCTCTTGCAATGTTTTCTGCTTGCATACTTACTTGCATGGCCAGGCAGATGGAGTTCCGCAGGATCAGAACGAACATCAGGTATTCAAAATAGGTGGAGTTCACCACATACCAGACCTTGTACTGGTACTGGTTTTTAGGGATGTACCTCCGCAGGGGCCGGGCCTTCAAGGCATACTCTACACACTGGCGCTGTCAAAGAGGCATAGTAGATTTAAAAATCAAAAACAAAATACGTGGCTGGTTATCTGCCTCCAAAAATAAAACCCAGTAAATTCAGCTTGTTTACTGATATGACAAGAAGAATTTAATTTATATTATATTATGAATGCATCCATGCTATTGGATACTATTGCATAACTATTAGAGAGATCCATATATATTTACTTTGTCCAAACAACATATTTACATTCATCTGATTAATGTAAATAAACCTAATGGTACAGCACACTTTAAAGTAGATGCTGTTCCTTTGTGAGAATCTTAAAGAGAAGTTTATTATTATTATTATTATTTTTAACCTGATTCCTGAAACATGACAGTATAGTCAGCTTAGTGCTTTAGCTTGTTGGCAGTCCTTACATGTTCCTCTGTGAATGCATTTTCTCTCTTAAAAGTTTATTGTCAGTGTATTTGTTTTCTTTGGTGGCAATGAGCAGTTGTAAATTACCTGGTTTTTGTCCAGCTCACAGTTCTTGTATTCTTGTTCTCCTTGTTCCTGAAATGTGACGATGACGAAACCAACGAAGATGTTCATCATGAAGAAAGCAATTATGATGATGTAGATAATAAAGAAGATGGATATCTCAACCCTGTGATTATAGATGGGTCCCACATCCTCCATGTGGGAATCAATGGACCTATACAGCAACCTGAAAGCAAACAGGAACCCAATGCAGAGAAATCTGCAACTGTCATGAGGGTGATAAGACTCAGATTTGCTATTTTGCTTCCAATTGTATCATAATGTTTTCACTTGCAGATGTGCAGACTTTCACTGCACATTACACATTTGAACTTCTTGAGAGGTGAGGGGCATTCATTGTTGAAAAATTAAAAAGTTAGAACAAATACATTCCTTCATTTAACAGAAAACAGAAGAGTCTGCATTGCTGGGAACTGAGTTCTGTGAGAGAAGGGGATTTCAGTGCTTTTAATATTTACTAACAATGCAGTTGGCAGAATCTAGTAATATACCTGCACACCCATGTCACACTAATGGAATGGAGCTGTGGAAGTCCTTGGACCCTATGGTACAGACAACGTAGTCTGATTAATGTCTGCCCATACTGTAAAACAGCACTGGTGCATTTCATACTAGCCTGTTGGCTCCATGGGGAAACTTGCAACATCTAGCAGTATTGCTAAGCAAGTATTAATATCAGCAACAGTACCTACTGTAACAAATTTTGCTATCAGTGCCCTACTACTAGAAATTGTTTCTAACACCCAGAGAGGTGATGTACACTATTGACAAATTCAGGAGCAGGAATTTCTCCAATCTCTTGGGAATTTTTTTAGGAACTGCTATCTTTAATACTCTAGACTTTTAAAAATATTCTGCATTTGAATTTCTTTAGAAATGAATGAGGACATTGCCAGCATTGCACCCCAGTGTGTGGGGCTCCAGAAGTACTCACTCTGGCCAGCCCTCAAAGGTTGAGACAGTGAAGAGGGCCATCATGGCAGTCAAGACGTTGTCAAAGTCAAACTTGCTGTTCTCCCAGCTTCGGGGCTGAATCATCGGCTGGTTGACCTCACCATCCTTGTATGTAATGTAGTACCCCCTGTGTTTGCAGAACAGTCAAAATATGGGACAATTGCACTTGCAGTACCAGGCACTGAGAGCAGTCTGCCAGTAAAAGGGGTACCTGGGAAAGGTCAGACTTACCTGCATTCTGCTGCTGTCTGCTTGGAGCTATCAGTGCAGCTGTACAGTTTGCCCTTGAAAAAAGAAGAGAGAAGAATGAAGCTTCCTTTTCTGGAAGGACTTTCTTTTCTATCCCTGAACTGTACAAAAGTTAGGGCAGATCATGTAGAAGATTGAATATACTACTTGCTTAACTAACTATGAGTATGTTTACATGTTCTTTTGGATGCAGAGGTGAGCAAATGGATGGAAAATTGCCAGTGCTTGGTAATCCAGAGCACAGGCTTTCATCTGCCTTCACAGAATTTTTTGGTGTATGTCTCAGTGCATGTCCACTGAGTGCCTGCAGAATACTAGTTGTCAGTAGGGTGATAAAGGGCAAAGAAATAAAAGTAGATTGTAACAAGTAAATAAAGAATCTCCAGTGATCATCTGGCACAGTCCCTCTCGGTAATATGAGAGGTAACAGAGTCTTCAAGACCAAATCCTTTAGAATAGCTCCATTCACCTCCCTGACACTGAGCTCATGCCACAAACTATTTGAGA